CAATACTGTTACGCATTTGACCACAAACGTTTGGCTGCTGGGTACATTATCAAAGAGCTTTGGGGGTTATGTGGCTGACAACAAGGCGAGCGAATGTTCCATTAAAATTAACTCTTAACACATAACATATGTGGAACTACATGCAAAACTGCTGACTAAAAGTTAACCCCTTTTTTGAGTTTCCTCAGTGGTTTAACTCGTATAGTTGGACATTGATCTGTCAAAATTAAATTTTCGTTATTCGACACTGAGTCTTCAGAAACGTAAGCAATGGATTCTTTCGTAAATATCCAGCAATTCGGACTTTCCCTATACACAAACTTTTCCCTATACACAAACTTTCCTATACGCAAACATCGTGGTGGCTTACTCGCTCAAGTAAGCCACCACGATGTTTCATTCTCATGAAATTCGTGGAAAAGTCAGTGTTTACGTTTGTGATATTGTCCCTTGTGAAAGAAAATCAGATATTTGGTTGCATGCTCCGTACACGCTATTTGAAAACTACCCCAATTTGAGTAAAATCCACTCTGATCGATCAAAACTGAATCTATCAAAAAATGAGTAAACTATGTTGGGAGTGACAGGTTAACAAATGAACAACGTCGGTCGGATCCATGCCAATGTTGCTCATGTGTCAGCTTGTCACACCCGACATAGTTTACCCATTTTTTAGTATGTTCGGTTGTGACCGATCCGGGAGGATTCTACCCAAATTTGAGTTGTTTTGAAATAACGTGTAAGTATTGACATTGACGGTGGTTTTTTAACTCTTTACTCCTATGGTAAAATCCCGAAGTATAGCGGATTCTGTCTTATCTCTTCACTCCACCATGGTATCAGTGAGCCACCGCCTCTTCATGCAAAGATTAACAGGATCTTATGAGATTTTTCACTGGACTGACGTTTGCTTATGCTTACCATGGGAGTAAAAGTTAAAGAGTGACGCTAATGGTCAAGGTAATGTGGTTATTATTTTTTAGACTAACTCTTGGCCTCAGGGGGTTTATCAAAGGATTTATTAAAGCGTGTTTTCAAGTCGGTCAGAAGTGAATTGAGTGAATTGTTAACCAGTCATATTATAGATAACCAGTCAGTAGATCTTTGTGCTGGGATTTGAGCATTCAATTTTACGCAATTGAGAAACATAGAGAGGGTTGAAACCTTGGGTATTACAGGTATCGATAAGCGCTCGATTTCATTTGTCATCTTTCTTGCAAAAATCTTGTGAATGGAAAGATTCAAGGTCAGCTCAAAACACTGCATATTTCCTACAATATCAAGAGATTTATGTCTGTTTTACGAATTAATTCCAAAAAATAAGAAGTTCCACTACAGCTATCAAATTAACAAGGCTTCAAAGAATCGCCAGCAAATATACTTCAATTTCTCAATGCACTATGTTTTTTTTCAGTATTCAGCTCATTTTATACTGGCGGTAGAACTTTGACAGCTTATTTAGATTTGCAATACTTATATATAAACCAGGAAACTTGTTGCAAAATGTTGCTTCTTTAAACTGTATGCATCTAACTCCAAATTTGTGTGGTTGTATTTTTCCTCCTACGTTATGGAATGAAATCAAAGTTGGATGCAATTGGTTCCAACAAAAAAAAAAATTAATGGAAAAAATGGTGCATACATTTGTTATCTAAGTTTATCATAGAGAAAGAAAATCGAAAAAAATTACCCACGCAAGAGAAGAAATAAACAAGTATTCGCTTGGAGTTTCTCCAATTTTTGGTCATAATTACAAAAAAGAATTGAATAGCAAAAAGTTAACCCATGGCAGCCTTTCGTTGTGTACTGAAGAACAATGTTAAACGCCATGCGCCGAAAGCATTGCTGCTGCTGATGATTGAATAAGCACCGTTCAGTGAGACCAGATGGAATTCGATTTTGAAATCTGTGTTAGGGAAAGTGCTTTTTTGCAGACATTTGGCATGAAACTGCTCTGAAATGGAATGAAATTTGAGAAAATTTGCTCAATATAAATATAATAACCCGGATTATACATCTATTGAATAGAGCATTGTGTAACTTTGATACCCTAGACAAACAAACGTAACTCTTCGCATAACCTTAACACATCGTCAGGAAATTCGGTAACAGCACTTGTCGAGATTTCTGCGTAGAAAAAACTTGTTTGCTATTTTGCAAGCATTGTTGTGAGCTACATAAATTGAATAAATTGATTCGTTAAACTTTAACTTCAACATTCAATACAAAATTTAAATTTAAATGTGATGTCCAAACAACCTTGAACATATAACACCAATTTGTATTGCACATATGGTGCTGGAAAGAGAGGGTTTAGGATAAGAGAGGAGTGGATTCAAAACAAATTGCCTTGGCAAGCTAAGCCTTGCTGGTTTCTAGCAACACTGCCAGTGCAATCAAGAATTCTACACACTTAGAAATAACTAATTTTACACGTGACGTATTAAGTGCTCCGAGACTGAAAAGTTCGTTGCTCGACGAAAAGTATGTTTGATAAAGCTATATTTTGCCTCTGTTACGACTCAAATTCGGCTTCCCGTGTGGCTACCATTTGAAAAACAAGCGATTCTTTTCAGGGCCACCAATTCAAAAACGGAAAGAGTTAAGAACTAAATGATCAACAAATTTGTTCCGTCTTCTAGTGGTCCTACGTCAAGCTTTCTTTCGCGCTCCTAGGCACAGACCTTTCTACTTTTTAGATTAATTTTTAAACCGTGGGGGGAAGGGGGGGGGGGTTTGTGATACACTTTATTGACACCAAAAAGCATCAATATATACTTTGTGATCTCGTTTGAAACCGAACGGTTTTATTATTGTTTTTATAATGATAATATCTCTTTATGGACTTTGTCGCTACATTAATAAAAAAAATACCGAGCAGGTTTATGATGGATTTGCTGAACAGTTTCAAAAAGGGATAGAGTGTTGCATTAAATTAATTTATAAAACCAGACACTTTCTGACTTTATCATCATGCTTTAAAAGGTTTTTTAAAACAGCCTAAAGCTAAACTACTAATCAAGAATGTTTTGCATTATTAAATGTCGTATATAAAAAAAATATTGCTTATTGCCGTTACTAAACCACAATAAATAAGAATGAAAGTCAATCGGTTTGTTAAATTGTTTCTTATCCCATCATGTACCTCATCATTTCATTACCTTATTACGTTGTTTTTCCTTTGAATGTTTCTAATATTGTTTCACTTTCACTTTCATTAATTCAATATTCACTTCTTCACTATTCACTTTTTCTTTTTAATTCCACTATCACTTTTAAAAAAACCTATAACATATACGTATTTCGTGTGCTACTTGCAAACTTCTTCGGTGCCTAGTCATAGAAACTCTAGCTCTAGACATTGAAGAAGTTTGCAAGTAGTAAACGAAATAAGTATCTCTAATAAGTGTAAGTTTTTTTTAAATGACAGTGAAAGTAAATAGTAAAAGTGAATAGTGAATTAAGGAGTGTTTAAGTAATACAAGAGTTGTCAAATTAAACAGGAAAAACAGCGCAATAAAGTGTACAATAATTCTACTAAAAACGCTCATCAATCAATTTAGAATATTTCATTGCTTGCAGTTTCCAGCCAATATTAAGCTATAATGACTAACTAAGTTATAAGTTGCAAAAATGTAACCCTCCCAAGTACTCATGCCCTAAGAGATAGAAATGCTTCTTAGACAAAGTAGCTTGAAATCATTTCAGCTACAAGTTTTCTGAAGAGCATGTGTCTTTATTTTCAAAAATTAAAAAGTAATTTTTTATATCAACCATTTGAGAACCACTCTATTTATAAAAAATTACCAAAAGAAGGAACTTTATAAGTTAAAATAGTTCACAGAAGACACAAATCCTCTAAAACGTTAGCACTGGAACTTTTGTCTTGCTAAATTCCCATCATATACTTCAGGGAACGTTAATTAGAAAGGATATCAATTTACTTTTCCTAACAAAAATGTGTATTTCAACAAGCCCTAAAAATCATCTGAATGTGACTTTCGCGAAAAAGTAAAACAGTTAGAGCTAAAAGCTGAATTTTTCAGGACCACCCAAAGTCAGATCAGAAAAATTTCTTCAAAATAAAAACGGTAAGAGATAGAAACAAATATTGTTGGGCTGGAAATCATTGCAGTTACAACTTCGCTGAAGAACATTCGTTTATATTTTCAAAAATTAAAATAGTTTTTTTTTATAACAATAATTGGAGGACCACCCTGAGTTTGAAAACGGCTATAAGCACACACTTAATGTTGTTTACCGAAACTTGGTAATTTTTGCTGAGATTTACACAGCCGAGCTCCCAAAGGCAAACATATTTTGTCGAGATCTCAGCAAAAGTGACATTTGATTGGAAAATTATTTGCAGAATCTTAGCAAACAAACGTCCTGTTTCCTGAGATCTCATAAATATTTAATGCCGAGCACTCGGCTGTGCAAATCATGCCAAGCTAGTGAACTCAAAACTACGTGTGAAGAAGCTTTTTAAGCTGGAAAAGTTTTCAACAAATTTAAGATAAATACACTAGGACGTTTGTCCTGCTAAATTCCCATCCTGGACCACTGTGCATTGGTTCAATCCCAAACCCCAGCTACCCTATACCACATGGCATCAGTGATCTTTCATTCCGGTTGTGGCTGCTGATGCTGATGGTTGATGATGAGACGCGCACGATGATCTTTGGATGAGTTTGAAAATCTTCTTTCCGTCTCCATCTCTGTCTCTGTTTACCCTTTCGTCGGCATGACATTAACATACTTGGGGCCACCGCCGAGCACCACACATTATGTGTGTATCATTCACAAAGGAGGGTTGCACGTTGCATAACAGCACCGTTCACATGTGTGCGGCAGTGTGTCACTCTGATTCGATTGCGCGGCAGCGATTTAGTGGGATTGATTATCACTTCAGTCGGCGTGAATATGTGCCAGGAGTACGATCGAGCTCGTTTGTGGTTGATGGCCGCTTGGTTCTAATACAGCTATTGTTCCCATTGCAGGATTGCGGAAGAATCTCTAGCGAAGAATACTGAGTGGTGATAAAAAGTGAAATTTTATTCCCAGCAGGGCTCCAAGTAGTGACATAAAAATGAAAAATGTGCCGTTTAAGTGATTTCATTCAAGCTTCAAATGGGAAGAGAGAAATAATTTCAATCATTTGATGGTGTGATGCGAATGAGGGCTCTATAAATCAGTGAATGCCATAAAAGAAGAAGAAGAAGAGGAAGAAGATTGACAAGCAAAGTGATAAAATCGAAAAAAATGGCTCTAGTAAACTACACACTGCCATTCGGTAGTATTCAGACCCCTGGTTGGGCAGCGGGTAGCCCCCTCCATAGTCAGCATGCATCGGCTGTAAATAATCTGCTGTATGGACCCGCCGGTCATCAAGAGGAAGATCCCAACGATCACGAGTTCTATAAAAACAGTCCCTATTCACCTCCGCAGCAACAGCAACAGCGGAATGCTCCTCAGCAGAGTGCCCAGTACCGGCAAGCTCCTAGAAACAATTACCTACCCCCTCCCCAGTCCTATCCCCAGCAACAACCGAAGCAGCCACAGGTTTACCAACAACCTCAAGCTCAACCTCAACAGCCTTCTAGAACATATGGCGAGGGTTCCTACTCGCAAGTTCCTTCTCGAACTGCCACTCAACCGCAGAATCCTAGCTACTACAACCCGAGTGGTTACAACAACAACAACAACAACCAACATCAGCACCAGCAGCAACAGCAGCCATCAAGCTACAATGTTCCCAACCAACCTTCGAACGTGTATCGCAAAACTGGCGGATCTCCACAAGTGCCACTGCCACAAAAATCCCCACAACCGACACCCCCGCCAAACAGGGTACCGCCGCCTCCGGTGAGCAGCGGTCGTGGCATCAGCAGCACCTCGGTCGGTAGTGGTATTCCGGAACGGCCACCCGGGTTCGTCAAGGTGAATGCTGGCCAGGGCTCGCGAACCCAAGTGCACGCCGTGCTGGACTACGACGACGACGAAGATGAATACTACGACGATGGGGACGGGGCTGGTGGCGGTGGTGGCTCGCGAACTCCTGGTAAGTAAGGCAATCAGCCGCATTTGAAGTTTCTCCTATTATTATTTTTTTCGGTCGTGCGACTACCTGATACTTGACGAATATTTGGCATTTTGAGAGCACTCGGGGCTTTTGTTGCTTATGTTTTTTTAGTTTCTGTAACGATGGGTACTTGAAGTTTGGATGAGTAGTGAATTGATTGATGGGAAGCAGCGCTTTGGGGAATCCCAATTTTCACTAGACTGTGCTCAGTAGGGTGGGGCACCTTTCGAGAGATGATACATTATGTTGCTATTTTAAGCTTGTCAACCCTCAGATTAGTACTTTTTGAATAGGAAAAGACGCTCTAATAGGGAAAGCATTAGCTTAGTGGAGTTGAAATTTTAATAATCCTAACCAATTGCTTCTTCCTGAGATTGCGCCTGCTATCGTCTTAGTGTTCTTTGAAGTGCCATAGTAATAAATTGAGAGCTAATTATAGACTAGACTATACTGAGAATAGAACCCGCCGGCTTTGGCTTTTTTATACCGTGCCATAATGACTAGGCTATCTGAGGCTCAAATACATCTTGATTAATTTTCATGTAAATTAAGTTTATGTTCCTTAAACATCCTCAACAATTAATTCTATTCACACACCAAAAACCACCATCGGATAAAATCAACGTGTGCATAATACGTTGATTACCGTGCAGTTACAACTTTCCCATTTGATATGAGATACACTTCACTGGAAATAACTACCTGCAATAGCACTTTGCATCAAACGTCATTCATGTAACCATCTAAAGCATGGAACAAAGGCAATAAAGTACATTCGCACACTTCAATTTCCCCGATGTTCAATCTTCTCAATTGTGATCGACAGCTGTGTGGGAATATCCGGTCGGAAGTAAATACTAATGGTGCCTAGAACGGATCGAAAGATTCTCTGTAATTTGCGTCATACGTGTAATGCATGCACTCACTCTCTCCCGGAAACTGTCGCTTCCGCATGGCATGGCAATGTGAGTCACGAATGGAAGGTACAACGATCCCCGTTAAACCCTTTCCACAACTACTTTTTTTGGAACGGATAATAAATTTCGTAGTTTATTACCATTATTGGCTCGCTCGCGCATTTCCATACCATCTTTAACTCTAGCAAAGACGCGTACAAAATCAATAAAGCGCATTTTAATAACCATTGCAGACCCCTGGGAGGGGTCCACCGATCGAGACGTGAGAATCACAAATAAAAAATATATATCCAAACATCAACAATCATTAAGTCTCTCATCACTCAAACAGCAGATTACGCCTGACCTTAGCTCGAGCGACGCGCACTCAGCGACCAATTAACCCATTCGAGCAATTGACACAAGAACCAACGACGTCGAGGCAGCGGAAGCTGATCTTGTGCATCGACAGCGCACAATAAAAACAAAACAAAGAAACCCTCCGGATTGTTATCCGGATGATGAACAAAAAATCGGTACCTCTATCTAGGGGTAGGTACCCATCATGTTTTGATGGCAGATGCATCACCACGAAACAACAGAAAGCAATTAGCCGATTGTAGTGAGCCTTGCTGTTGCTGTTGCCTGTTCGAGGAAGGCTCGTCGAGTGCCATAATTCATTACCGGCGGCATGCTGGCAGAGAGGGGTGGGCAGAACGGTTAAGTGAATGCAGTGCTTCAGATCCCTAGCTGTGGTTTATGGTCAGCATTGAGCAGAGATGATGAGAGCTATTAATATAGATAAATTAATCCATCGACAGCTAGCTGACAACTTGGTGGAACTCTTTACTTTGCAGAGGGCTTTGATCTTCAATCGAATGATCGATTCAAAAGAAAAAGTCAATCTTCTGAGTTAGATTTAAACGAAACATAATTTAATAGGACTTGAGTGAAACTAAATATTAATACCCGAATTTATCCACCTATGGTGTGATCAGATCCTTCTCACTTATTCAAGTTTATTTATTTTATTGTCATTATCAGTGACCAAGCCCCCCACCCCCGTGTCACCCAGTGACGCTACGCCACTGCCTGGGGGTACCCGGAATATATCTGGGTGTAGTCTATTTGGTGAGGCTACCAATCACCTTATCGTATTTAAATGTGATTTAATGGGTTTTAATTCAATTCATATTAAAGCAACTTCCCCGGGGTACCCGGAACATGTCCAAGTGTGTCCAATGTGGTCTGGAACACTTAACACGACTTGCATTGATCTTATTTTTGAATTCTGTAGTAATTTGATGTGTCGCATGATGGTTTTGATACGTTTTCCGTTAAATCCAGCGTGAAGGCCCATATTCACCGGATCTTATTCCGGCCATATCTCCGGAACCGGTTCACCGTTCAATAGCGTTCAATGGGACCCCAAGACCTATCATTTGGTGCCGAGTTTGTCCAAATCGGTTGAGCGGTTGCTGAGAAACGTGAGCGCATTCATTTCGTAACAAACACACACACATACACGCATACACACATATACACAAACACACACGCACACACACACACACACACACACACACACACACACACACACACACACACACACACACACACACACACACACACACACACACACACACACACACACACACACACACACACACACACACACACACAAACACACACACACAAACACACACACACACACACACACACACACACACACACACACACACACACACACACACACACACACACACACACAGACACACACACACTGACACACACACACACACACACACACACACACACACACACACACACACACACACACACACACACACACACACACACACACACACACACACACACACACCCCCCACACACACACACACACACCCCCCCCCCCCCCACACACACACACACACACACACACACACACATACACACACACACACACACACACACACACACACACACACACACACACACACACACACACACACACTCACACACACACACACACACACACACACACACACACACACACACACACACACAAACACACACACACACACACACACACACACACACACACACACACACACACACACACACACACACACACATGTTCCGATCTCGTCGAGCTGAGTCGAATGGTATATGACACTCGGCCCTCCGGGCCTCGGATCGATAGTCGGCTTTTCAAGTGATATCTATACCCTTCTTTGTAAGAAGGGTAAAAAGAAGTCCAGACTTCATTTCAACAATCGTTGGTACTGATAAGCCTATACTGAGCATTGATAGTGCTCACAAAATCAAATTTAATCAAAAATTGTTGATTGAAAATAGGGTGGTTTCGATGGTTATTAAGTTCGAAATATAATAATTTAGTAATTTGAGATAGACCAGCATGATATTAGACAAAGCTGTAGAGCTATTTAGATTAAGCAACTTTACAACGCGGTATTGGTGGTGTAGTGGTAAGCGTGATTGCCTTTCATTCCAAAAAGCCTGGGTTCAATCCCAGTCGGTGCTGCCGCGATTTTCTGAGGCATAAAACCTCTGATCACGGGCGATGTAAAGCCGTCGTCCCCGGTTCATGAAGTTGAAGGATCCTTAGGTTAGGGCCCCGGTTCATGCAGTTGAAGGGTCCTTAGGTCCAGGTGTTGGAGCTGTCTTCCTGGCGTCGGTACACCTAACCGGGGGATGTAAGATTCGCTTACAATTATGTGGGATTCATCATCAGAGGATGTTCATGCATGAACCGAGGATGCGATATATTTAGCTGCGGTCCAACGCAATGCGATCCAACGCAATGCGGTCCAACGCAATGTGGTCCAACGCAATGCGGTCCAACGCAATACGGCCCAACGCAATGATGCCCAACGCAATGCGGTTCAACGCAATGCGGTCCATCGCAATGCGGTTCAACGCAATGCGGTCCAACGCAATGCGGTCCAACGCAATGCGGTCCAACGTTATGCGGTCCAACGCAATGCGGTCCAACGCAAGAACATTGGAGACCAAAAAATGTGGAGTGTATTAGTGAGTGAAATTAATTATGTCGAAAAAAAAAAATAGGAAAAAGGTTGCCGACTGGACTCGAACTACGAACTTTGCGATTATCAGACCTGTGCTTTCTCCATTGCTCTCCATGCTTTTGAAAGTAAACACGAAACGCTCATTTCCTCTCATACTCGACTTCGTATGCTTTTTTTGCTGGAGAGATTCGAGGCAAGTGTGTGTCTACAATGTTATAAATAAAAAGCTTAACACCATTACGTCAACTGCAAGGTCAACTTCTAACATTCGCTGCGATGTTCATGAACAGAGGATGATAGGAAATGGAACGAACATTCATTGTAATAAATTTTTGGTTTGCGTGTAGCATTGGTACTCAGTACGGAAAACAAGATCGACGGAAAACAAATCAAGGAAAAAAAGCAACTTAACTGAATAAATATTGATTTTGATATTGATTATATTTATTGCCGGTATCGCTAAGGAGACGAGTTTGCATCCTGTGAACCATGTGGTGAAAAGCGGCCATTTTGTGTCGATGAGAATGGGTTGAAGAGCTTGGTATTACTATCTTTGTATTTGTTGATTTCCAATAGATTTTGAAGTTGAACGAAGATTTTTCCCTGATGATGAGAAGAGTTTGCCGTCTTCCTCATCTTCGTGAGAAAATTTGATGTACTTGTGAACGTTGCTTATGACCTCCAAAGGAAGCTGATTTTTTTGGGGTCACCCTAAGTTACTGTTTTAAAATTATAAAACGAAAACCATTAGAGATAGAACATTTGTATGTTCGGCAAAGTTGCTTCAAATAAATTGATCTATATCTTTTAAGAATACTGCACTGGTCTATCTCAAATAACTAAAAAGTTGAAAGTTAGACCTAATTAGCCGTAACCCACCCTAATTTCGCTTACTTCAAAACTAACGGTTTAAGCGCAACATTTTTGTCCTCGATTCTACGGCTTCGGGGCCGTTGTGGTCCGAAACGGAATTTTGGTGGGAACAGATATTTACTCCATTTCTATTCATATTTGGGGATATATAGGGTGTCCCACA